GCGCCTGTCATCAAGGCCGCCCCGGCGCCCGCTCCTAAGGTCGAGAAGAAGGCCCCGGCCCCAGCGCCTGCTCCCAAGGTCGAGCCTAAGCCTGCTCCTACTCCTAAGGTCGAGCCGATCGCCCCCCCGCCCGCGCCCGCTCCCAAGGTCGAGCCGGTCGCCCCCCCGCCCGCGCCCGCTCCCAAGGTCGAGCCTAAGCCCCCCGCGCCGGCGCCCGCTCCCAAGGTAGAGCCGAAGAAGGCCCCGGCCCCCGCGCCGGTACCAGCTGCGAAGGCCCCTGAGGTCGCCGCCGTCAAGAAGGTCGCCGCTCCCGCTCCCCCGCCGCCGCCGCCGGCTGTCGCTCCCGCCGCTCCGAAGGCCGCGGCGCCGAAGTCCATGGCGCCGAAGCCGGCGCCCAAGCCGAAGCCGGCCCCCGCGCCCAAGAAGCCCAGCGGGCCTTCTCCGCAGGTGGGTGCTTGATACGGTACGGTACGACGGCATGTTGTCGCTTCGCGACAGCAAGACAGCGGCGGTTGTGTGCGTGGGTGCTTTGCGTGTGTGTGTGTGTGTGTGTGTATTTTCTTAATTAGTACTTCGAAGTACCGACCGCGCTACCCGGCTGATCAAACGTGAGTGCCAGCGGGTAAAATCGAGGTCTCTGGAAGGGCAAGGGTGTGTCTGTGTGTTGCTTTTCATTTGGTATCGACCGCGCCAGTGAAAGTAGTACGGCCGGGACACAACGAGATCACGTTTTTCTAGTCCACGGGCTCCTTCAACGGGTTGGGGGGGGACTAGGAGGAGGTTGTACTGCACGAGCCTGTCTGTGTTGTCATGTCTTGGATTGGACTGCCTGCACCAGCCTGTGCTTCTTGGGTGCAAATCATGATGCTTTCTTGATCGTGTTCGAATCCCATCTCGGAAAAAAAAAAAAAAAGGCTCAAAAGGCTGCCCAGGCGAAGGCCAAGGCGGCCGCGGAAGCTAAGGAGAGGGAGGAGAAGGCCGCGGCTTTGGCCGCGGAGAAGGCCGCGGCGGCCGAGAAGAAGGCTCTCACGGATAAGATTAAGGCCGCGCGGGAAGACTTCGGGACGGTGAAGATGGGACCTGACAAGAGTGAGTGGTTGTTGTTGCCGCCGGCGTTTTCCGATTAAAAGTTGTTGTGTTGCTGATATTGCTGCTGCTGCTGCTGCTGCTGCTGCTGCTGCTGCTGCCGGTGTTTCTGAGTGAGTTGTTGTTGTTGCTGCTGCTGCTGCTGCTGCTGCTGCTGCTGCTGCTGCTGCTGCTGCTGCTGCTGCTGCTGCTGCTGCCGGTGTTTTCGAGGGAGTTGTTGTGGTTGTTGCTGTTGTTGTTGTTGTCGTTGCTGCAGCTGTTCCCGGTGTTTCCGAGAGAGTGGTCGGTGTTGGTGCCGCTGTTGCACATGGTGGTCATGAGCAGCGTTCGTCTGTCGGGAGTGACCGTGGGCTATTTAGACTTGATTTTTGCGATGGAAGCATGGAAACGATCGTGATGTTCCCTGATGTGCTCTTCAGCAGTTGTCGTCGGCTGCTTGTTACTGATAGCTTGGTCGGAAATATGCACGACAGTCAGCGACGAAGGAGTATGTGAGATGCTCCCTCTCCTGCCCGCAGAACGAGTCCGTTGTTGTGTCTCAAGGATAACAAGGGTCTTTTGATGTGATCTATCTCTCGCCACAAAAAAATCAAGTCTCCGTGATCAATGGCGGGTATTGCAAGACTGATGCGACAACAAGGGTTAAACAAGAAGTGCCATGCAGAGCTTCCTTCTTTTTCTATTCAAGCGTATCTGCTTTTATCTTTTTTTCTTGTTTTTTTGCGGAGATCATGTTGTATATTGGCATGGAATTTGTCACTTCAAGACGCATGCTGGCTTCGGGTCCCTCTTGCAGCTGTTCTTGTTGTTGTCTTCGCATTAAGAATCGTCCCTGTCTCTCTGCCGAGTACCCTCATCTGTCAGTACTTATCAGCGGCACTTCTCTTTTCTTATTTTACTTTCTTAGTTAAGACCCAACGAATCCGACCCAACGAATCCATCTCTATCTAAGAAAAGAGTCTTTGAGATAAATTAGCAATGAATTCATAGCGTCAGCGAAAGAGCTGTATTTCCTTTTTTCGTTCAAGCACATTTTTTTTTTTTTTTGTCTTGTCGCAGAGGCGATCGCGACGACGACGACGACCAAGGTAGCGTCGAAGCCAACCAAGGACCCGCAGGAGGTCGCCTTGGAGGAGATCCGTGCACAAAGATCAGCGGTAAGAACAATCACGGAAGCATCGTCGAGTAACGGGGAGTACTCATAACCGTGCGCGCCGTAGTCGTTAGACCATTGACCTCGCATCCCTGCAAAGCACGCCGGTTTGTCACCGGCCCAGGCTCGCACACCACTAAGCGCGAAGCGCCGTGAGGTATTCGGCGAGGGAGGGGACGGGATGGGCGTAATCCTTTGCGCGCCAAGAGAAGTCGGAGTCAAAGCAGCATGGAGGGTGTGTGGGTGAGGGTAGCGGGGCGAACGCCGGTTGAATCGTTCTGAGGATCGTTCCCTGTATATGATAGATACCATCTGTTAAAACAAGTAGTTCGTCGCACATGGGAAGCCGCGGCGGGAGGGAGGGGGGTCAATGTCCTTCTTGTGGGAGTTTTTTTGGGCCCATTGGGGGGGGTTGTGGGCTGTTTTTGTGTGTTGATTTTTTTTTTTTTTGGGGGGGGGGGGGGGCAGTAGTCCCCAGGAACGCTGTTGGAGCAAGAAGTTATGCGGGCTGAGGCGAGGCGTGCATGTCCGTGTAGGCCCAGGCAGCAGATGACTGTTTGGCAGGCAATCCACGGCGGTGGTGGCAATACGCATCAGCTCGCCCTCGACTGCCCGTTGGTCGCTTTCACCGCGGCTGACGGGGCACATTTCAAGGGAGACTACCTGGCCGACGTGTGCTAGCAGGATTAGCGGCGATCTTGGCTTGTCCAGTCGTCGACGCACTTTGAACTCGCGAGAAAGACCGCGGGTTCCTGTTGTTGTTGTTTTCGTTGTTCGTCTCGACCAACACTCCTCTCCCGCTCAAGAACGAATACCATACCAAATCCAAACCGCAGGCGATGAAGACTGTCCGTACGCAGTCGGAGGTGCTGAAAGCGGCCCAAATCAAGCTGAGCGACAACAACAAGAAGCTCGAGAGCGCGGAGAAGAAGATCGCCGATGACAAATTCAAGATGAAGACCACCAAGTGAGAAGAAGAAGAAGAAGCCTGAAGCCTTGCCGACTTTCGTGGTGTGCATCACACATATTTTTGCGAAATATTTTGTTTTCGCCGTGGTCTTTTGTTTGTGTCGTCGAAGTTGTTGTTTTTTTGCAGCGTGGGGTCATATGTCACATCGTACCGTAAAGCGCGACCTTACGGTACCGTGTAACGCAGCCGTACCGGATGGAGCCGTGCCTGATCGTATCGTATCGTACCGTATCTTGCAGTGCCGTACCGTACCGTACCGTACCCCATCACGCCGCACGTTGCCGGAACAAACCAACTACAGGACGCCGAAGGTCCGCACGCAGCTGGCGGTGGAGATAGCGGAGAAGCAGCAGGTGGCGGCGAAGGCGCGGGCCAACATCAACGAAGCGGAGGCGGTCATCAAGGCCGCCGGGGTGAGCGACCAAGCCAGCCAACGCACAAGGAGGCTTGCAACCTTCCCGCCGTTTTTTTGTTGTTGTTCAACGCATACTCCTCGAGAATTATACAAGAGTTGTGGGAACAATTCCCGAGGGAAGATGGCCCCGGGATGCAGCGACGGCTACTACATACATGGGTCTGGACTTGGAATGCCAGGGAATTGCTTTGGGTCCCCCGCCCCCCGATGTCGCTTGCCCAGATACTCCGTACTTGCAGTTACATAGCTCTTATTTGACTATAGTACCCTGCCCTGTGAAATCCTTTGGCACGATGGAGCTGCATGTGCGTACCAGATGGTTTTATGGGTTGAGAGGTTCCGAAGGTTCCGGTGCCCGCTATGGTGCCCGTAGCTATGGTGCCCGTAGCTATGGTGCCCGTAGCTATGGTGCCCGTAGCTATGGTGCCCGTAGCTCTGGGTGGCACTATTCGGGGACCATCGAGGTGACACCTCCGACGCCCCTCCACTGCTGCTGCCGTGAGGTCGTTTTTTGCACACAGATTTTTTACAATTATTATGTCTCTCATTGTTGCTTATTCCAGGATGTAAAGAAGCGGCAATGTTTGTATGAGGGGTCGGCACACGCCGATGTTGCGCACGGGTTTGTACAGTTTCACGTCTCTGTATCCAAATTCCAGCATGTAAAGTAGGGGCTATGCTTCTTAAGAGGTAAAGGGGGTTGGGACACGCCGATAACACTCTCTTTGATCCGATTTTCGCGTAAACCGCGTTGTTGAGCATATGGTCGGGACAAACTAGCTCGCACCTTTCCTCTCTTGGAATCGTACATTGTAGCCGCTGCCGCTGTCATCTGCTTTTGCCAGGAGCTCGTGTTGCATTTGAAAAGCGACTCGCTACCCGTAATATAGTCCAATTTGCGCAGCGTCCCACCCCTCGACCTCTCGTTCTCTTCCCGTCTGTCTATTTGTCTGCCATGTCTTCTCTTTTTGTCTCTTCGGTCTCTCTCTTCCTCTCTCTCTCTCTCTCTCTCTCTCTCTCTCTCTCTGCCTCTCTCTGTCAAAATCTCAACATCTCATCTCTCTCTGCCTGTTTGTCTGTCTGTCTGTCTTTTTCTCTCCTCTGGCGGGGCATCACAGAAAGAGGTGCAAGATGCGACAAAGGAGTCGAAGGCACTGTCGGCACGGCAAGTGAGGGAAGAAGCGTCCCGCAAGGCCGCTCAGGCAAAGGAGGCCAAGGCAAGCGCGGACGCCAAGGTCAAGGCCGACGAGGGTGAGCGAGACACGCAGCAGGCACATATATTTTTGTGTATGAATGGTAAATAGTTGCTACTCCGTATTCGTTGTTTCAACTCCTCCGGGTGTATACGACTGTGTGTGTGTGTGTGTTTCTTTCGAATTGGCATCGACAGGGCTAACAGGCTGACCAATGAAAAGACGTCAGTGTTTCGTGTTTTACTTGATGTGCCGTGGGTGCTTCGTGAATGAGGAAAGAAAACGCGCCGTGGTGCGTATTGTCGAACGTGAGATAGGTTTGGGTACTGCTGTGTTTTGTGGGAAGCTCCAGTCCGGCAGAGGACCACACATAAACGACGTCTCTCCCCTTCCTGCTGCAGTGCCGCCTGTCTTCGTTAAAAAAATTTGTAGCAAGTAGAATGCGTGTGATTGGCCTCGTTTTCTTTTTTTGTGGCAAGTGCATGTTGCTGCTTTGTCATCGTTGCCATTTTTTTTGTTGTTGTTTTGTTTTATTATTTGCGGGGAAAAAAACAGACGCCAAGAAGCAGAAGAAGAAGTCGATCCAGGCGGCGCAGGCAAGAGCGGAGCAGAAGAAGAAGGACATCGCTAAGGCTAAGGTGGATGCCGCCAAGGCCAAGGAGAACGTCTTCAAGGAGAAGCAACTCAAGGTACGTGGGCGGGAGGGCGGGGGGGGGTGTACCCACGTAAACGCATGCCGTAGTCGTTAGACCAATGACTGGCACCCCTACAATGCCGGGACGGAGCGATATGCCGGGTTTTCGCCGACCAGAAGCTGGTCATCATCCTTGCGTTTGTTGTGCCAACCCAGGGGGGGGGGGGGGGGGGGCCCCAAGGGGCCATTTCCCGTTTGCCCAGGTTCACATAGGGGGGGGTCGCCCCCGGGGTTTTTTTTTTGGTTGGGAGTTTTTTTTCCTTCTTCCGTCAAGGGGGGTCCCCCATTTTGGGAGGGGGCCCCCCCTTCAGCAGCAAGGAATCGTGGTTTCCGCCAATTCCCGTTGGATTTTTTTTCCCTTAAGGTTCCCCCCTTTCGGGGGGGGGGGGGGGGGGGGGGTGGAGTCGAGGCTCCGGCAACGGAAAATCGGCGGTTATGTGTTTGTTGGAAGGATGACTGGATGACTCCAGTAGACCGCTCAGTCTGCTCTACACGAGAAGTGGCTTAAAGGCCACAGGGCTTTCTTTTCTGTTTGACGGCTGTAGCACTCTATCTGCGGCGTTTTCGACAGAGTTGACGCCTGGAATGATGTTTTGACACCCCCCCTTTCGTTTTTCGAGGGGGTGATATCGCGGTCGAATGCTATTTACTGTCTGCCGCGGAAGGTTTTCGAGTTAAGCTGGCATTTGTTGGTAGAAATCCCCCCTTCGCCTGTGCCCTGTGCAACTCAGCCGTGCTAATTGTATGTGTGTGTTTTTTCGTGTGCGTGTGTTGTTTTCTCGAAATGTTCTTTGCAGGTGATTCCGGGGCAACATTTCCCCGACCTCGATCTAACGACGACCCTCATGCAGCCCCGCTGGACACCCAAGGACTTGCTGAAGTGAGGATTTCGTGCCTGGCCACCCTCTTGTTGTCGTTGCTATGCTCGTTGTGGTTGTCGGTCTTCATTGACGTTGTATGTGTAGTTCGATTGGTGCTGATCGGGGTTTGCGTTGCTGTGCACACGCACAAAGATTGTTGCGGTTTGTGCACAGGAGTGATTTTTTGTGTTTTTGTTGGTGGTACGTGGGTCGGTCATTCGTCTTCTGCAGCGATGTTATAGGTGGCGTTGTTGTCTTTGCGAGGGCTGATGTTGGGGTCTTTCCATGCCGCATACTGTTCCTGCTGTACCTACGATTTCCGAGTCGGAACCGGGGGTGGACAGACTCGACGTGGCTGCACGACTTGGCTTCTGTCACAACGCCTCTCGGCCGCACCCGCGCACACGGTGCCCCACCCTCTCCCCCCCGATACATTTCCACGTTCGCGTCGCCCCCCCTTGCGTTTCTAGTTCTCGCGTTGTGGTACGAGTTCTCGCCCCTGCCTTGTGTACGTTTTCCCCTCTTGTTTTCTCTTCCTCGGCAATGTGCGTCCGCAGTGCCCCCCCCCCCCCCCCCCTCCACCGTTAGTTGACAGACACCCTCTCGTTTCCGATCCTTATCCCTGGCGCAACAAGAGAGCGCCCGAGCGGCGGAGACGAAGGCGGGGCCGAGGGCGTCGTGCCTGCCTCCTCCTTCTCCGGCGTCGAGGTGGTCTCGTCGGAGCGCTACGATGTCCATGACGACGGCGACGACGGAGCCGCGGGCAACAGCGGTAGCGGTGGTAGTGTTGGTGCGGATGGCGGTGGTGGTTCACGCCTCCCTGCTGGGGGCTCCGGTGTGGCGGGAACCGGCGCCGGCGCAGCGGCGGAAGGGCGACGAGCGGGAGGGGAGGGCGGCGGAGTGGGCGCTGAGGTCTTGATCCGGCCTCCGAGTTACGGGTTCAACGACAAGGTGCTTTGGCCTGGCTCTCCTCCAGATGGTAGTTTTAGTAGATGCGATTTTCCCTCTGCGGGTGTGGCTGGTGCGAATGGCGCCATGGAATGGTATATTTGCAACTAATCGCCGTGCCTTTTCGGTACCAAGCATCACTCCGCGCAGATGGGGAAGCACCGCCCAGCCCAGTTTGCTGGTTAACGGAGATAGGAACAACCCGCAGCCAGACAAGGAATAGCTTCATCACGGCTTGTGAGAAGCTGTTCCTCTTCCCAAAGCTCGCTACTGCTGCGTTACACCCTTTGGGTTCCAACGCCCTGAGTGTCGGCTCCCCCTTGTGGAGACCAAAAGAGTACGCAACCGTTTTTTTTTTTTGTGGCCGCTTCCGCATTTGTCGCGCCTGCCTGGCTGGTAAGAAAAAGGCTCGTGAGCTGGTGCCAGTTATTATTGTCTTCGCCCGGAGCACCAATGGCCCTTGTCACCACACATGCCAAGCTTTGAAGCGGTTTCACCATGGAGTCGGGATTCCGGCATTTTGTCTGCTTGCGCACTGCTCGTCTGCTTCCGCGTGTTCGCCCGATTTTCACTCTCGACAGTTCAGCGGTTTTTTCACGTCCCTGAGGGAAGAGCTTCGTGAGATGATTCATCTGCCGAACCCAGACAAGACTCCTGCTGAGGCCAGACGAGGTGCGCCAGACGCTCCTCCACCCTGCACCCACTCGGTTATTATTGATGTTGTTGTTGTTGTTGTTGCTATTGCTGTTGCTGTTGCTGTTTTGGTTGGGTAATGTTGATGTTGATGTCGACGTTGATGCTGATGCATGTGCTGTTGTTCTTGTTGCTGTTGTTTCGTCTCTCCCTCTCCCTCTCTCTGTCACTTCATCCCCGTCTCTCCCTCTCCCTCTCATCTCCCTCCCATCTCCCTCCCTCTCTCCTTTCCTCTGTTCCTCTCGTTCTCCGTAACGTGTGTGTCCGCCCGCCCGCCCCCCGTAGGCCTTCGACTAGAGCACGAGCAGGCCGCCTTCGACCCGGACCGGTACCTCGGCGACCTCTTCACCGAGGAAGAAGACCCGCTCCTCACGGAAGCGCTAGCGTTCGAGCCCCACTGGCGACTGAGGCTGGGGGCACAGCAGCAGCAGCAGCGGCGTCGTCGTCGACAACGGCGGAGAGGGCATGCGCAAGATCAAGGCAACGAGGAAGAGGATAAGCGGCAGGGGGTTGACGGAGGAGGAGGAGGACGAGGAGGAGCGTCGCCGGCCGGGGATGGTGGTAGAGAGGGAGCTCCAGAAGACGGGGCTTTGCTGCAGGGGGCAAGAGGAGGTGTAGAAGGCGTTGTTGAGGCGGAGGGCCGAGGGGATGGGGGACAGGATGAGGAGGAGGAGGGTTTTACGGAGGTGGAGCAGGAGCAGATGAGGTGAAAGGGGCCACCGAACGTGTGTGTTTTGGTAGCCGAGCAATGTATTTTCGTTCGCTAGCCGATCAGCGCGGTGCTACATACGTTACAAAACACACACACGAGAATGCTTGTTCTCATTATTTTTTCTGGTATCAGACTGATGTCTTTTCGTTGGTCATCCGGTTGGCGTGGTCGAAGCTAGTTTATGTTGACACGCCCCCTAGAGAGCGTGTTCGCATTTCCCCACCCGCTGTCAGACCGGGGTCTTTTCATTGGTCAGTTAGCACAGCCAATGCCACATTCTCAACGAACAATCATACACACACAGACACACACACAAGACCCACACCCACACGGTGCCTTACACACCCTTGCCTCCTATCGCAAAACACACCGTCAATACCAGGCGTCTTCCCAACCGCGAGTACCTAATCGAAGCCGGGAGTGCGGAGGAGAGGCGTGTCTTGCTCGGCCTGGCGGACATCTTGTTCGCCTATGCGTACGACCACCGGACCACGACGGGCGACGCCACCGTCGAGAGCCCCTGGACCGTGGCCGTTCTTAGCCCGCTCCTCAGCTGGCTCGAGGTGTGTGTGCGTGTGTTTTGGGACAATCGATCCGTGCGATTGCTGTTGGCGTTGCCGTCATTGTTGGCGTTGATGATGATGATGCGGTGTGGCTGCATCACGTGAAGCCACTACAGCGTTAGCCTCTTGCTGCACTACCGGTTCTCTTTTGGTCTTCCCCACCCCGGGGCTGTTTGAGCGCGTTATTTTTGCATAACTGCTGCTGCCCCCCCCCCCCCCTCTAAGGCCTCGAGTTTGCCGTGTACCTCACCCTCGTCTGGCTTGGCCTCTGCCACCGCCATTTACACAATGCATCACACACAACCCGGGCGGATTTTCAAAGCTCCATTACTCTACGACGAAGAGGGTGTACAAATCACACGTCTCTCAGTATGTAGTTTCGGAAAGCTCTCGACGAGACGATTCCATCGCCTCCATTCTCTGCCGTGGAGAAACGAGAGCTTTGGAAATCAGTCCGGGGCCTGTGATGTGATATCTCGTGCCTCGTGCGGCAACCAGCTATCCACCCCACATGCACATACCTGCCGCCTTTTCTCTGACCTTTGACCAATCGTGCCGCCGCGCCTCCCGACTACTCTCTGTCCTCCAGGCCCCTGCGGAGGGGGGGGACGTGGCAGAGTCATCCCCTGTCGCCGCCGACGCCTCCGCCGAGACCGACGTGGCCCTGGCCGGCATCCGCCGCAGCCTGATCTTCCCGTACCTCAGGGTGTGGGAGCTGGGTGCTCTGGTGGCGAGGGACGTGAGGGACATCCTGGCGGCCGGCAAGCGATGCATCTTGCGCTGCCTGTTGCAGGTGTGTGTGTGTGTGTGAGAGAGAGAGTTTTCACTGTTTACTGTTGCCATCGACCGGGCTGGTTTGCTGGCCAATTATTGTGCGTCAGTCTCAGTGCGGTTGAACACATGACATCTTTCGAAAGACCATGATCCCGCGTGCATGGGCGCATGTGTGTTCGTGTCTTGGATTGTTAGCATCGACCGAGCGAACCCGGCTATGTAGCCAATGGATTTTTTTCACATTTTTCAGCAGGGTATCATGCGTCCGTGTGCGATGTGGAATGCATTGGCTACAAAGGGTTTCGCTGTCGCGGCGTTTCGTGCAAGGGGGTTTGCAACGTAGTTGTAGAGTCGCATGAGTCAGAGAAGGGGTTGTGAAGAGGAGAACAGAAGGAACGAAGATGGCCATGTTTTCACCCCCTGTGCGCAGGCATCCGACAAGTGTTGCGTCGTGCCTCACCTGTATACCGGAGCCGTTATGTTGGTGTTTGTGGAGGCATCATAGGTAGGGGGGGGCGCGTTTCACGGGGCCACGTTAGTCTCGACATGAAACTCCGTTCCTCATACGAAGGTGAAAGACAGGAGGACGGGGAGAGCGTTTTTTTTTCACAGCATGACGTCATAGGGAAACTATGCCCATGGCGCTGTCCGTGCTCTCTGCCCACGGCTGTCTCATGCAATCCTTCTCCGTGGGCTAATAGACGAACCGCTCCTCTTCAAGGAGGCAAGCAGTGGTGATCCTTTCTTTTCCGTTGGTTTTTCTCTCCTACTGATTGCTCCGAATACATCGTATTATTCGCCCCTCAGGATCTTGCCGGGTGTTCTCAAGGCTCTTGGGGCCCTGGTAGGCATGTAAGGACTAAGGTAGCTGTTGCTTCTGCCTTTTCAATGTTTGGTTTTGAAGCAAGACTTTCTTCCTTACAAGTACAGCTGGTGACTTCTGGCGGAGTGCTGTTTTCACACATTCTCCGAGTTCTGACGAACAAAACTCCCTCCCGTGTTTACGTGCGGGGTAACCACCGCAGACGTACGCCCTAATGGAGAGAGGGGAGGTGCACTACCTGCTGAACAAGCTCTTCGTCGAGGACTACTGCGTGTGGATCCAGAAGGTGCGTGGGGTTAGCTATTAATTGGGACCGTTGCACGCGGACATGCTTCCCCGCAATTCCTTACTTCCCCTTCTGCCAAAAGCAAGCTATTCTCTCGCGGGAGTTCGGTTAACTTGCGTACAATCTACCTCTCTGGTTGTAGAAACTGGTTCCATAATATTTTCGTTGAACAGACTCGGTGTCTCTTGAGAGACACAATCCGTGGCGATACACCGGTTCTTCGCGGGCGGGAAGCGTGGGTGGTAGTTTTTTTCACTCCTCCGCCTTTGAGGCCTTTCCGTTCCCCGCCGCGAGTGAGACACGATTCTGAAACCCCCGCCCGCGGCCGGCGCTGGCAGCAACTGAAGGAATATTTTTTCATGACTTCCCGCACGCCTTCTCATCTTTGGCCCTCCTCCGGTCTCAAGACCAAACACGTACGGGATTCCACAGCAACCACAAACGCTGTTTTCTCCTTCTTTTTTGCAGGCTTCCGAGGAGTCTCTCGTCGCTTTGGCGGAGCGTTACGCTGCCGCCGCGAATTCGATCACAAAAAGCGGGGCTTGCCTGGACCTAGAGAGGATCGAGGCGGACGCCGAAAGGGTGATCGCAGCGGGGCGGGGCGGCAGCGATGACGAAGAAGAAAGTTCGGCGGAAGAAGAGAGTTCGGATGAAGAAGAAGGAGACTCTTCCGAGGAAAGTTCGGATGAAGGTTCCGAAGAAAGCTCTGACGAGGACAGCAGCGCCGACGAAGACGGAGGCGACGGCGGCGGCGGCGAGGGGAAGAAGGCGGAGGCGCAGCCGGGGGGCGATGAAACATCGGGAGGTGGCATCGGACGGACGCCGGCGGCTCCTTCGACACAGGCACACAGCAGCGAGGCCCTCGCTTCGCCTGCGGCTGCACATGGCGCCAATGCTGCTGCTGTTGCCGCTGCTGCTGACACGGATGCAACTGCATTGTCGAACGAGGCCGCGAGGTCGGGCGCATCAGGGGCAGCCGCAACGGCTGTAGGTAACGCCAACGGCAGCAGCACCAACAATAGCGGTGGAAGAGGTGGAGAGAGGGACCCTCAGCGGTCCACAACTACTGCCGTAGCTCCCGGCAGAACTGGCGCCGCCGACGACGACACCAGCAAGCCCTCCGCTTCCCGAGCGGTCGAGCGAAACACAGACCTCCTGCAGCTAGAATCGCTCGCAGACAAGGCTTCGCGAGGGGGCGCGACGTCATCATCGGCTCTTGCGAGCAAGCTGTCGGGTCTGAGCCTCGGAGAACATGGAGCGCCGATCCTCCCGGGAGGCGGTGTTGGTGTCGGGAAGGCGGTGGTTGGGTCACCGCCGCCGCCTCCGCCTTCCTCTTCGGAAGCGGTTGGCAGCAGCGCTGGCGATGGCGGCAGCGGCGGCGGGGGAGAGGGCAAGGGCCGGCGAAAAAAGCTGATCGAGGAGTTGTAGAAGACGATGGCGTCGGGCAGAACGGAAGCGGCGAGGTTGTTGCTGTTTTTTGTTTGGAAGCCCCTTCTTAGAGAGTTAATCGCGTGTCCCCCTCTCGAGGCCGAATCACTCCCTCCCCGCACCAAGTGACGATGGCGCTACAAAACTTCGAAAAATACTGACTTGAGCCTGGTGTCGTGGGCAAAAAGCTGATTGGAGACGGTGGTGCCGATATCTTGTTTCGAGTGTGCAGCAGCACGCAGGGGCGGGGTCGGCCCGTTGGGTTGGAGAGCAGGACGCACGGGGACAATCAGCGTGCAATGCATAACCCACTCCGTTTTTTCTTCTTTTAGGGCGAGACACCGTTTCCGCGGCGAAGGACTTTGCGGTCCCCATCGGTCGTGGTAACGGTGACCGTGGTGTGAGGTGTGAGGTGGTTTGTGTCCCTCCAATAGTCTGTCCGTCTCCAACAACGGTAATTCGTCTTCCAACCCGACTTGAAGCTTCAGTCAGGGACTACAAGTGCCCAATACACCCCGCCTCCTCGCGGTTAGCGTTGACCCCACCTCGGACGTCGAATTCGTTCGAGGAAACGTTTTTCCTCGAGAGGACAAGGTTGATTGTGTTGACATCGAATACTACCGTGTTTGACAGCTGCGGCAATGTGGCAAAGGGACTTCACTCCCGCTGGCTGGCGACGTGGTAGGGGGCCACAATGCGTAGACTGCCCATGGGTTGCCCATGAGAACCATTCCGTTGCCCGCCGGTCACGAAAGACAGTCACGACACGAACTACAGCCGGTTGAATGCATGGGACGACAGACAAAAACGCGAGTTACGCAGATAGACAAGACTAGTCTCAGCCATGCAGCGCCGACCGAGTAGTCCAATGGATTATCCTTTCTCTACTGTGACAAAAGACATGCCTTGGGCCTTTTGCCCCTCTCAGCTACGACACCGGTGAGGCTCCACTACTACAGTCAGAGCTGACCAGCTGTTTGGTCTAGGGGATAGACCCTCTATTTGACGATTCACCGACCAAAGCATTTTAAGCACGGTCAAACAGCAGTCGGCCCGTCTTCTCACCTTGATCGCACGCTCGACTAGAAGCCATGGTTGACGCGCGGTGAGCTAACTCTGCCGCTCTTGAGAAAAATGCGCACACTAAAAATTCTTTTTAACCACCGGCGCTTCTGATGATATCGTCCAGCGAATAAAAAGGAATGATCATCAACATCAAAAGGAGATGGAATGCGCATGGGCCGCAAGGCGTTTTAGAAACCAACCATCCAACTATCCAACACTCGCCAACGTGTCTTTCCCCCTTGGCCCTCTGTTTCGTCCTCCCCTAAAATTCCTTTCTCGAGGCCACACTAATGTTGTATTTCCCACACAAGACATACCTCCCCCCAACAAATTCCGAACCAAATACCAAACACGTAGATATATTCCCCCCCCAAAACTCCTGCCCATCCCCAATTATTCGGTCTCGTTTGCTCGATCAATCCGAATCAGATACCAACAACGTAGATTCCCGCCCCAAAAACCTCAGCCCCGCTTCCTTTTAGTCGTTCACACACGAGGCGAACCGAACAACTCCGTCCGAGAAACCCCTGCGGAAGGCGATACACGTGTTCTTTCCCATCGAACTGTCCGGATCATCTGCGGTATCTCCCTCCACGTCATAATATCCCGCAAGGTGGCGATCATGATGGATGAAGGTGGTGTTCGTGAGGCTTGGCGGATCGGTGAATTTTGCCTAAGGGTCCACCATGAAGCGCACCTGGCAAACGTTCGGCGAGAGTATCGGGATGAAAGCTGTGAGTCAGGTTACCTTCTTCTTAGTTATGATCCGAGCTCCACAGAGTTGCTCTGTTCTCCGAACCGTTCACGCGGGACCAAACGGGAGAAGACAAACACCAGATTCGATGGTGCCGAGCAGTGTGGCCAACGGAGCTTATCGGGTGCCCCTGATTGTGCTGGTAGATGTCAAGCGGCGTAGATGTCGTTTTGGAGAGCGCTTCAAATGGCCAAACGGCGAGAAACCTGATCTCCCGCGCTGGCAAAACATTCTGTTACTAGTCCTGACAAGAACCGACGGCAATGCCTGCTCTGGTACCTCGAGCAGGCTGATCCAGTCGTCCGCGTCGATGCCGACGGATTCCATGGCAACGGTGTGCACGCCGTTCTCTTGGATCCCGAACGAGTTGAAGGTAGATCCGGGGTAGGACTCGTACTCGCCGATTTTGTCGCCGTTTATCTTCACCTGTAGTTCCGGGGAGAACGGTTCGGATGTGGTGACACATTATGATAGGCATGTAGCCCAGGCAACAGAGAGCTCCGGTTCTTTCAATCGAAATTTTGCCGACAAACTGCGTGTGGGCTGAAAAGCCAGCACAGGCACTAGCGGTTGGTTTGCACCCCGCCTTGTTGACGTTGGGTTATGTCGGGGACATGGAAACGTTGACACGACGTATGTAAAGCTGCCGATAGAAAAGGCGGCATCCGCACCATCAAACATCAGAGGGATGGACCGCATGCGGTATTCTTGAGGAGAGGGCACCTTTGCTCCAACAACAGAAGCTCGAGCCGGACCCGGCGTACCAAGAGCAACCGAGAGTCCGACAACATTTCGAGCCACCAGGATACATATCCTGTGAACTCGTACAGCCAGCCTTCGGTGGCCACTTAAGGATAGGCCTCGCATTCTAGTGTCAGGACGAATCGCGTCCAGTCCTTTCCAACCATGGCGACACTACTTGGTACCAAGCACGAATGATACCGTGAGCCGGCGTCGGGCGTGAAGGGCGAGCTGCGTGGAGTATCATACCGTCGCACCACAAACCATAGGCTCTATGGGCGACACTTCCCGTACAAGGTGGTCCACAGTATGTAGCTCGTCAACCAACAGATACTGTGGTAACCGCATCAGCAACTAAGAAGAACAGGCCCGTGTTCTATTTAGCCCACACGATGTCTGGGTTATGTTTCGCCCCTGCCACCTCGACCCTAGGACGTTTTCCTATCACGAGGAGCGGGGAGAAATCTAGACGCGTCTACACACCACCAAGCGATGGAAAATGATGTTTCTCCAGATGCGTGTTCGTCGACTCGGTTTGTCGACACATGCATGAAGCTAAAGCACGTTTTCGTCCATTTCAACATGGGGCCATCATTCTCGATATTTCACCTTGAGGGTGCGAGTGCGCTCGTCCCCCTTCCAGAAGGCAACCTGCACGTCGGTGATGTCTTGGGGGCTGTCGAACGTGAAGGTGATCTCGCACTGGCCTCCGTCGGGCACGATCTCCTCGGCGCACGACCACCTCGACTCCGTGTCCTCCTCACCGACCCCATCATGGGCCAGATCAGGAAGGCAACCCATCTCTCCGCAGCCGTCGCCCCCCTCACTCTCTCCCGGGCGGTCGTCGTAAGCGCTGGCGGTGACGCCGACGGTGGTCTTGCTCCCGGCCTCGACGAACTCGGCATTGTCGTCATCTTCATCTGCAGAAGGGGAAGCCGGTTGGGCCGTAGGGGGGCTGGCGGCGATGGGGGACGAGGTGGGCTCCTCCGTCGGAGCAGGACTCACAGGGGCCGCACTGGGCTCGGGTGAAGGGGGGCTGACCGGAGGGGAGGTGGCCGGGACCGTCAAAGGGCTGGCGGTAGGGGGAACCACAACCGGCTCGGGGGTGGTGGGTACGGCCGGCACGGGCGTCTGGACCCAGCCCGGGACAACGTGACGAGCGTATTGAGACAGCCAAACGTCGAGAGCAAAGTTCGCGACGAAACGGGGAGTGGGGCTCAGGCTAGTCAGGTCTGGTTAATTCACAAGCTATCCCCCACATGCTCGAATTCAGGAGTCAGAAAGCTGATAATAGTACAGAGTCGTTGCTCGTTCATTCTGCTCGTCGAAAACACGTACGACACAATAGATCACGCGTCTTGAAAGGGCAATAGCTCGTGTTCTACACATCAGGCCAATTCGTCCTTCACGCCGAAGCAAGCTACGTTTCGCAGCTTGTCTGCTTTGACGTCATTACATACCGGTTCAGGGGTAGGCACGATTGGCTCGGGTGTCGGCGCGACCTGACAGCATTGAGCGCATTGAGACGGCAAAACATCGAGAGCAAAATTCGCGCCCAAAGGGGAGTGGGACTCATGCTGGTGCGGTTTTGTGAATTTATTCACACGCTATTTCCTCCACCAACTCAATATTGGGATACAGAACGAGTTGAAAAATCACTGTATGCCTTCGTTCGGTTGTTCTGTTCGTCGAAAGCACGTACGACGGATAGAAGACCACGCCGCCGCGATCGTCACGAAAGGGCAACAGCTCGCGTTCTGCACAACAGGCCGATTCGCCCTCCAGGCCGAAGCAAGCTACGCTTCGCAGCTTGTCTGCTTTGGCGTCAACACATACCGGTTCAGGGGTAGGCACGATGGGCTCGGGTGTCGGCGCGACCTGACAGCATCGAGCGCATTGAGACGGCAGAATATGATAAGAAAAATTCGCGCCCAAAGGGGAGTGGGACTCATGCTGGTGCGGTTTTGTGAATTCACACGCTATTTCCTCCACCAAATCAATATTGGGATACAGAACGAGTTGAAAAATCACTGTATGCCTTCGTTCGGTTGTTCTAATCGTCGAAAGCACGTACGACGGATAGAAGATCACGCCGCCGCGATCGTCACGAAAGGGCAACAGCTCGCGTTCTGCACATCAGGCCAATTCGTCCTTCACGCCGAGGCAAGCTACGTTTCGCAGCTTGTCTGCTTTGACGTCAACACATACCGGTTCAGGGGTAGGCACGATGGGCTCGGGTGTCGGCGCGACCTGACAGCATCGAGCGCATTGAGACGGCAGAATATGATAAGAAAAATTCGCGCCCAAAGGGGAGTGGGACTCATGGTGGTGCGGTTTTGTAAATCACACGCTATTTCCTCCACCAACTCAATATTGGGATACAGAATGGTGACAAAAATCATTGTATGCCTTCGTTCGGTTGTTCTGTTCGTCGAAAGCACGTACGACGGATAGAAGATCACGCCGCCGCGACCGTCACGAAAGGGCAACAGCTCGCGTTCTGCACAACAGGCCGATTCGTCCTTCACGCCGAAGCAAGCTAGGTTTCGCAGCTTGTCTGCTTTGGCGTCAACACATACCGGTTCAGGGGTAGGCACGATTGGCTCGGGTGTCGGCGCGACCTGACAGCATTGAGCGCATTGAGGCGGCAAAACGTCGAGAGCGAAATTCGCGCCCAAAGGGGAGTGTGACTCATGGTGGTGCGGTTTTGTAAATCACAAGCTATTTCCTCCACCAACTCAATATTGGGATACAGAATGGTGACAAAAAATCATTGTATGCCTTCGTTCGGTTGTTCTGTTCGTCGAAAGCACGTACGACGGATAGAAGATCACGCCGCCGCGACCGTCACGAAAGGGCAACAGCTCGCGTTCTGCACATCAGGCCGATTCGTCCTCCAGGCCGAAGCAAGCTAGGTTTCGCAGCTTGTCTGCTTTGGCGTCAACACATACCGGTTCAGGGGTAGGCACGATGGGCTCGGGTGTCGGCGCGACCTGACAGCATCGAGCGCATTGAGACGGCAGAATATGATAAGCGAAATTCGCGACCAAAGGGGAGTGTGACTCATGGTGGTGTGGTTTTGTGAATTGACACGCTATTTCCTCCACCAAATCAATATCGGGATACAGAATGGTGACAAAAATCATTGTATGCCTTCGTTCGGTTGTTCTGTTCGCCGAAAGCACGTACGACGGATAGAAGATCACGCCGCCGCGACCGTCACGAAAGGGCAACAGCTCGCGTTCTGCACATCAGGCCGATTCGTCCTCCAGGCCGAAGCAAGCTAGGTTTCGCAGCTTGTCTGCTTTGGCGTCAACACATACCGGTTCAGGGGTAGGCACGATGGGCGCGGCAGTCGGCGCGACCTGACAGGATTGAGCGCATAGAGGCGGCAAAACGTCGAGAGCGAAATTCGCGACCAAAGGGGAGTGTGACTCATGGTGGTGCGGTTTTGTAAATCACAAGCTATTTCCTCCACCAAATCAATATTGGGATACATAAAGAGTTGCAAAGTCACTGTATGCCTTCGTTCGGTTGTTCTAATCGTCGAAAGCACGTAAGACGGATATATTGTCGACCTGTTTGCTGGAGCCCTGCCTCAGGATCATGACTTGTGACTTCTCCGTAAGCTCAAACGGAACGCGTGGAGCATGTACATGATAAATGATGTGAACGGCACACACACAGCATCGCTTCTCCGAGTGTCTAGCCATCGCTGTTGGAGCTGCCGTATACTCCATATACTCGTCAATCTGTAAATATGAAGCCTCGCGTGTGTCAATCCCGTTGGCAACTGTTGAGATAGATGAACGAACGAAGGTGTACCAACCGTCTTCGGCCTTACTTGTTTTTGCGCGTCACAAATACTTGGTCGTTCCACACCGTCCGCGGTGCGTAATACGGTCGTATGCGGCCTACGTTTGCCCATGGCTATCTCCCGGCTAACGTCGATATAGAAGTGCAAACAATGTGCTGTATTAACGAGGATTTCAATGCCGGGACCTGGGAGTATTCTATGGGGGAGAGGTGTCCGAACATCCTTTTCTTTTTTGTGTGGATCAGAGCATTGCCCCCCACCTAACACTCACTATAAAACTCTCTCCGCCAATCAATATACCGAATAATCTCGGTTGGAATGAAAGAAATCGGGAGTGACTGCGACGAAATGCGATTTCGAGTAACTCTCTGATTCGCATCTTGTTACCCACATCGTCGCAATGGAAGCTAAGGTCGCAGTGTGAAGCGTTGTTGTTGCACATTCAATAATATCTACGCGTAGTCTGTAGACGTGTGTTCCGAACAGTGCGCAAAGTTGAAGTGTCAAGCAAATTGGGAGAAGACGCGTGTTCCATGAATTCGCAACAACCACATGTATGTGGGTGTCTCATAGCAAGTCAAGACGAGTACCTTGCAGGTTTCTGGCCCGAAGTGAGGGGGGCGCGTTGCCGGGTTGCCAAACATTAAAACGCCTTTACGACCTGATGGCATGGCCCCCGACAGAGAATATCTACGAATGAATGTCGTGCCCCAAAGCAGCACCAAGACGCAGGAATCTAGGCGACGCAGACTGACTCAAAAGCTGTGTACTTCTTGCCTGCGACAGCGATGGTTTTATTTTCGCACTAAAGTTGAACCGTAGGTTTCAGTAGGGCTTACCGGCTCCGGCGTGGGCTGTGGGGTAGGCACAGGCTCGTCGGTAGGAAGTGGAGCTGTGCGCAGCCGAATGGCGTCAGGTGAAAACGATATCGAGGCGATGCGCGAAGTTCAAATTAATTTGTGGGGTCGAGTACGATGGACCATGCGAAAATAAGCCAAAACATGGAGATGTGTGCATCCTTCCATGCTAATGCTGTCTCTCGCACCTTTGAGTACGCGGCAGGCATCTCGGAACGAAAACTATCAATCAATGCGGAGTTTCCCCTACGCAATCATTTGCGTCGGTGCTATACGTTGTGGCGAAACTGTTCAGTGTCGGATCTATCCCGCGAAACTGCGACGGATTGGCTTAGTCTGCCACACAGCAGGAAACCGCGATTCATTCCAACCCGGCTAGTTTGGTCCTCCATTTCTCGCAGTCTGACAAACCGGGGCACATGTAATTCGAATTAGAACATAAACTATTTCTCGATCGTTTGTTCAACTCACTTCCTTCTGGCCATAGCATCATCAAAAAGGAGCAGCTGTCCGTGTTGCCCGCCGCATCGCCGGCGGTGACGGTGGCGATCACTGCAGCACCAGCTCCGCCCATCAGGGTGGTGCCGTAAGGGTCACTGCCATATTGCCCAAAATCGAAGGGGTATAACTCGAAGATGAAGGACCCGCCGACCGCGTTGATCACTTCGAAATTCCACTCGGCCGTTGTTTCTTCCCCGACAGTGGCCCACCAGGTGTCCTGGCGAATCATTATGGTGCCAGATCCGACAGCAACCTCCTTGTACTGGTCGGGGATGCACTCGATCTCGAACTCTGGTGACGGAAAATCCGATAAAGCAAGGAGTTGCGGTGCGTGTTCCAGCGCTATGCGACATGATGTGATACCTCGCCTAGCGAGGAAGTGGCAAAAGATTTCACTGCGTGTTCGCTTGTGCTTGTCACCCTCGACACCGAACCAATACCCACATATACTTCCGCTGCGCATGCATAGCAGCAAACAATCTGCTTCCGTTTTTTTGGGGGGGGGGCGCCGCAGAGGCACACACACACGGACATCAAACTGGATTGGACTGGGAGACTTGCGCACCGAAAGCGACACCCAGACTTCGCATCTACCTGGTCGGTGAGTTCGTGCTCATGCCGTTGGC